CTACAAAGAACTTAAACAAATTTACAAGAAAAAAACAAACAACCCCATCAAAAAGTAGGCAAAGGATATGAACACAGACTTTTCAAAAGAAGACATTTTATGCAGCCAACAAACCTATGGAAAAAATGCTCATCACTGATCATTAGAGAAATGCAAATTAAAACCACATTGAGTTACCATCTCATACCATTTAGAATGGTGATCATTAAAAAATCTGGAGACAGCAGATGCTGGAGAGGATGTGGAGAAATAGGAACACTTTTACACTGTCGGTGGGTGTGTAAATTAGTTCAGCCATGGTGGAAGACAGTGTGGCAATTCCTAAAGGATCTAGAAGTAGAAATACCATTTGACTCAACAATTCAATTACTGGGTATATGCCCAAAGGATTGTAAATCATTCTATTATAAAGACACATGCACACATGTGTTCATAGCGGCACTGTTCACGATAGCCAAGACTTGGAACCAATCCAAATGCCCATCAATGATAGACTGGATAAAGGAAATGTGGCACATATACACCATGGAATACTATGCAGCCATAAAAAAGGATGAGTTCATGTCCTTTGAAGGGACATGGATGAAGCTGGAAACCATTAGTCTCAGCAAACTGACACAAGAATAGAAAACCAAACACTACATGTTCTCACTCATAGGTGGGTGTGGAACAATAAGAACACATGGACATAGGGAGGGCAACATCACACACTGAGGCCTGTTGGGGAGTGGGGGAGCTATTGGAGGGATAGCAGGGGGTGGGGGGTTTGGGGAGGGATAACATTAGGAGAAATACCTAATGTAGATGATAGGAGGATGGAGGCAGCAAACCACCATGGTATGTATATACCTATGTAACAGTCCTGCACGATCAGCACATGTGCCCCAGAACGTAAAGTATAATAATAAAAAATAATGTTAAAAAATAATATTAAGGTACATATAATGAATATGTAAAGACATGGAAGGATTTTCACAATGTATTAAGGATTAATAAAGCAGGTCATTAAAGAACAAAAAGGTGTGTGTTTTCAGGGAGCTCATAGTATGTGTGTCACCCCTAGTCAGCAAATGGCTGATTGGCTCTATTTTAAATTTTAGTCCAGTTAGCTGCTTGGGATTCATCCTGAAGGACTGGATCTTTCAGGCTTATAATTATTCAGAGAATCTTGGCCGAAAAGGAAAGGAAATGAGACTAGAAGATTGCTAGTCAACAGGAAATAAGTAGATGGTCTTCCAAGTCTAGATCAAGTCCAAATGAGGAGATTCAAGGGCATAATTAGAAGAGCTTTGCTTTAGAGTGTGGTGTTAGATATTTCGAAAATATTAGAAGTGACGGCACAGCTTGTGGTAATGAGCATCTGTTGCGACAGGAGGTGAAAGCAGCTGGTGATGAAGGACATCAGACAAAGGAAGCTATGATGTGAAGAGTGAGACACTGGAGACCTCTTGGTTGAATCAGAAGGGTCGCTGCTGACCCTGGTCCTCATGAGACATCCATTATGCATTGTGAGGCATCAATCAGCCATGGTCTCAGCATTCTGAAATACATGTGTTAACTTAGCATACAGCATGAATTTGAAATACATAAGGAAAATAAGATTCCAACGGAAGAACCGAACCTTTTTATCTTTGTCAGTAATAAATTTTTGATGTTACCATAATTTTTTTCAGAAATGCAGAACTATAGAAGAAAGATGTGATGAAACCTCTTATTTCCTTAATTGAAGATCAAGCCTGGGTGACAGAGTGAGACCCTATCTCAAAAAAAAAAAAAAAAAAAGGCGGAGATGGTGGCTCACACCTGTAATCCCAGCACTTTGGGAGGCCAAGGCAGGCAAATCACGAGGTCAGGAGTTCAAGACCAGTCCAGCCAATATGGTGAAACCGCATCTCTATTAAAAAAAAATACAAAAATTAGCCGGGCATGGTGGTACATGCCTGTAATCCCAGTTACTCCAGAGGCTGGGGCAGAAGAATCACTTGAACCCAGGAGGTGGAGGCTGCAATGAGCTGAGATTATGCCACTGGTCACTGTACTCCAGCCTGGGCGACAGAGCGGGACTCTGCTTCAAAAAAAAGTAGAAAATGAGGAAGATAGTTTGTTAGCTTTCCTAATAAGCTACAGATTTTACTATCACAGGACTTAGCTTGTGCACTTGTGGATTTTTTTTTCTTTGAGATGAAGTCTCACTCTGTCACCCAGGCTGGAATGCAGTGGCACAGTCTCAGCTCACTGCTACCTCCAGCTCCCGGGTTCAAGTGATTCTCCTGCCTTAGCCTCCTGAGTAGCTGGAACTACAGGCACGCACCCCCATGCCTGGCTAATATTTTGTATTTTTAGTAGATAACAGTGTTTCACCATGCTGGCCAGGCTGGCTTCCAACTCCTGATCTCAGGTGATCCACTCACCTTGGCTTCACAAAGTGCTGGGATTATAGACGTGAGCCACCACACCTGGCTGCGTATTGAAATTTTTAAAGAAAGTTCCAAACTCTTTTCCAGAGTGTTTGCACTGACTGACTTTGCCACCAACAATGTATGAGTAATTGTTTCCCTGCATTCTTGCCTGCAATTTGTGATGTAATTATTTTGTATGTTAGCCGTTTTTACAGGTGTCTAGTAATATCTCATTGTGGTTTTAATTTGCATGTCTCTAATGACTTCAGATTTTGAGCACCTTTTCAAATGCTGATTTGCCATCTGTATATCCCCTTCAGTACAATGTCATGCCTTTTGCCCATTCTCTATTTGAAGTGTTTGGTATTTTACTGTTGAATTTTGGGGTTCTTTATATATTTTAGACACTATTCCTATCTGCATATGTGGTTTGCAAATATTTTCTCAGTCTATAACTTGCCTTTTGATACTCCCATGATGGTGTTCACAGCACAGAATTTTTTATTTTGGTGAAATCCAGATTGCCAATTTTTTTTCTTTGATAGATCAAGCTTTTAATGCAAAGTCAGAGAACATTTGGCTTAAATTTCAAAGATTTTATCCTATTTTTTAGTAATAGTTTTACATTTTATATTTAAGTTTGTTGTCCATTTTGAGTTAATTTTTTTTATAAAGAGTGAGACTTAGGTAAAGGTTTATTTTTCTGCCTGTGGTTATCCATTTGCTATTGTACTGTTGGTTGAAAGGGCTGCAGTGAACTGCTTTTGCGCTTTCATTAAAAGCCAAAGGAGCATATTTGTGTGGGTCCATTACTGGGTTCTCTGCCCTGTCTCATTGATATTTGTGTCTGTGTGTCCTCATTCCTCAATACTACACAGTCTTGATTACTGCAGTTATAGGACCTGTCTTCAAATCCAGTAGATCAATTTCTCTTACTTTGTTCCTTTTTGTCAAAACTATTTACCTATTCTAGTTTCTTTGCCTTTCCACGTAAATTTTAAAATAATCTGATCTATAGCTATGAAATAAATCTTGCTGGGATTTTAATGAGAATTGCATTAAACTTGTGTATCAACTTGTAAATAACACCTTAACTGTCTTTAGACTTTCAATTCATGCATATATGCTTATTCATTTTTTTTAAATCTCTGATTTTGTACATCAGCATTTTGTAGATTTTCGTTTATAAGTACTGTGGATGTTTTGTTAAATTTATACCTACTTATTCCATGTTTTGACCAATTGTAAATATTTTTTTAAAAAGACATATGTCCACATGTTCATTGATTTTATATAAAATAAATACCATGTATATATGAATACATACATGTGTCTTGTATCCAGAGACCTTGTGAAGTCACTTTGGAGTATTTTTGATATGTCTTAGAATATTCTATGTAGACGGTAATTTCAGTTGTAAATGGGACAGTTTTATCGCTTCTTTTCCATTCTGTTTGCTTTCTATGTCCTCTACTTCCCATGGTGCACAAGCTAGAACTTGTGGCAGTATGTTGAATCAGACTGGAAAGAACAGATATCCCTGCCTTACTTCCTAAGGGAAAAGTATTCACTGTGTTTCCTTACTCTAGGGCTTTCGTACATGTTCTTTCCCAAGTTGTGTAAGTTCCCCTCTGCTCTTATTTTCTTTCTGAGAGGTCTTTAGCTCATAATCAGTGTGGAATATAAGCACACACTTTGTATTTATTGATACTATTATGTGACTTTTCTTCTTTAGCAGTTAACATGATGGATTATATTGACTGATTTTCAAATAATGAACCAGTATTGCATGCTGGGAATAAACCTTACTTGCTCATGGTGTATAAACCTTTTTATATTCATAAATTCTATTTGCCAATATCTTGTTAATGATTTTTGTGGGTATATTTGTGAGAAGTATTGGACTGTAGGTTTTTTTTTTCCATTTTTTGTAGTCGTTATCTGGTTTTGATATTAGGGTGAGCCTCCCAAAGGGAGCTAGGAAGTATTCCCTCCTCTGTTATTTTATAGAGGAGATTCTATAAAACTGCTGTTAAATTTTTTAAACACTGGGTCAAATTCTTCAGTAAAATATTTTTAGTTCCTTCTCAGGGATTTCTTGTTTGGGGAGTTTTAAGGATTATGAATTCATTTTTTAAACAGTTATAGAGCTATCTCAATTATCTATTTCATATTAGGTGTATTATGGTAGTTTGTGTTTTCTGAGGAAATGAGATTTTCACTGAAGAGCTGGATCTTTTTATCTTAGCCACAAATAAGTTTTGATGTTACCTTATAGTTTTATTTCACACTTACCAAAAAGTACTGAGAAAGAATAATGAAAATCCTGTACCCATGGCTAAGCTGAAGAGATGCATGTTAAAATGCAAACGTTGTTAAAGCTTCAGTACATTCCTTTTGCCTAATTCCTGCTCTCGCCTCTCCAGCACTTGCCGCCAGCCTGGGTGTGCTGCTTGTTATTCCACTAGGTGTTCAAGTAATTGATTTTTTAAAAACTACTGTGCTTAACCAATACGGCATTCAGATGCATACCATTCACTCAGCTGGCATATATTGACAAAAATGATACTGACATGATGTTATTTTGGTTTGTTTCCACAGCTCTTCCAGTGTTTATTCAACGTCCTCAGGATACAAGTGTCGAGGTTGGAAAGAATATAAACATTTCATGTCATGCTCAAGGAGAACCACATCCCATAATTACTTGGAATAAGGTAAGATCTCAACTAAGAGTACAGTAATATTAAAAACATTGACAGATGTATTGACCCACTGAAATGGAGGCAATGATTCTCATATAGATTTATTGCTGTTGCGATTTTTCCTAGCAAATAATACTTTTTAAACTGTAGCAGGATTATTTCCTGTTTCTTCTTCTTCTTTTTTTTTTTTTTTTAAGTGACTATCTGATTTTGGTTCAGTGTTTTGATAAGGTTTATCCTTTCTCATTTCCTTGGTTGATGAAAACTTTATAAGCATAACTGATTTCCTCTAAGGAAAATTGGTTTTGACACATATAAATTAAGAGTTTAGTGGCTAATGAGAAACCGTTTTAAGTTAATAACTCAGAAGTGGATTAAAAGTAGGTCATTGGCTAAAACAGGAAAGGAATGAAAAACTTGATGTTAAAGAAACAAGAAAACGTAGTTCTGAAGTTTCAAAACCTGAGTGGCTTTAACGAAACAATAGCTGCCTATTTATATATCTTAACGTCTTTTGGAAGCCATATTTTTCCAACATAACTGCTTCTTCTGTTTTAAGTTTTTCATCAAAACAAAATGAAGGGTCTCAGATTTCAGTGTTCTTAAAAATCAACAGATTTGCACACTTGAACATCAGTTTTTGAAACATTTTGACAAAACACAAAATCTGTGAAAGGTCACAAAGCTGCTTTCCAAAACCACTTGGCTCATTTTTGTTGCTGCTATGTAGTACTAAGGCCTTCCTTGTGCTGTAGCCAAGTCTCACACGCTCTTCTCTATGAAGAGTAAGTTTAGGGGTCTCAATCTTAAGTCTTTTGGTTCATGTCCTCTCACCAGTCTGAATATTTTTTAATAAACGCCTTTCAATTTTATATTATATATTAATTTTGTTTTTTTTTTTTGAGATGGAGTCTTGCTCTGTCACCCAGGCTGGAGTGCAGTGGCATAATCTCAGCTCACTGCAACCTCTGCCTCCCAAGTTCAAGTGATTCTCCTGCCTCAGCCTCCTGAGTAGCCTGTATTACAGGCACCTGCCATCACTCACAGCTAGTTTTTATATTTTTAGTAGAGACAGGGTTTCACCATAGGTCAGGCTGGTTTCGAACTCCTGACCTCATGATCTGCCCACCTCTGCCTCCCAAAGTGTTGGGATTACAGGTGTGAGCCACCATGCTCAGCCACATTAAAATATTTTTATTCTAAAAATAGTGTGGAAAACATACATTTGGTCAGTCTCTAAAGCCTTATTCGACACTCTACAACATGCGTCATTCTATAATAACATCAGCAGAATATCTCAGTGTCTACTTTGTAAAAGGTAGCTTCTAATCACAAACTGATTGAGTGCTGACTCTATGCCAGACATTTTACATACACGATCACATTTACTCTTCATAACAGTCCTCTTCAGCTCACAAGTTTGGAAATAGTATGAGTTAGCAAAACTTTGCTAGGAGCAATGGAAACACCCAACCATAAGCAGAAAAGGAATGTGCTGGAAAGCGATCTGATTGCTGAGATTCTAAGCAAACATTTCAGAGCTATAAATTTAGTCTGTGAGTTCTGGCAGTGGGTTAGGAGAAGGGAGGACAAGGGAGAAACTTTGAAAGGAAATTCAGTAATGGCCCAGCTTGAGGCAGGGAAGGTGTGGTTTTGAAGGGAGGACCCACGAGGCCTTGCAACCTGTGCACCTGGTCGTCATCCCTGACTTGTGTCTGTCTGGTCTCTCTCATCTGCCCTCTCATCTGGTAGCTCCCTGAGACTTCCTCTCATTCCTGCTCTGAGTTACCAGCTACCAATCACCAGTACTTGTGTTCTAGCATTGGGTAAAGTCAGCTGTGGGAATCCGAAGACCGGTGAAACATCATTTTCACTCTAAACGTTCGTGGTTACACTCTAGCCTGTTGGCTACAGCAGGAGTGTGAATTCTTTTGAAAAAGTCCCTCGCATCTTCTGTTGCCTGTGAATCTTTTGGCGAGAGGCAGGGCAGAGGCATGCCATTTTACTGCAGTTTCATAAGGCCAATTTCTTTTACTTTTTCAAATTAACCCCATAATAATGACAATGTATGTAAATCTATATTAACTATAAGCAAATACACTTTAATCATAGTTCATATAAAACTTGTTATTTTTATCTTCTTAAAGTATATTTTTAATTGAGTATATATACATAATACACACATATGAGTGTAGCTATAAAAACATATGAGTACCTACAAGAAAGAAATAGAAGGGACATTAGAAATATGTTAATAAAAATATTTTGATGTTTTTAGATGATGGATGTGTGAGCATTCTTCTCCTTGTTAATTTTTAATTTTTTTTTTTATTTTAGATATGGGATCTTGCTATGTTGCACAGGCTGCAGTGCAGTGGCATGATCATAGCTCACTACAGACTCACACTTATGGACAACCCTCTCGCCTCAGCCTCCTGAGTAGCTAGAACTACAGGCACATGCTACCATGCCTGGCTGACTTTTGTTCTAACTTTTTTTTTGTAGCGATGGGGTCTTGCTATGTTACCCAGGCTTGTCCTGAACTCCTGGGCTCAAGTTACCCTCCTGCCTCAGCAGTGCTGGGATTATAGGCATGAGTCCCTATGCCCAATCAAATGTAGTTGTCAGAATTATCTTTAGCAGTAAGAAATATGTGAATCCATTGTGTGTATCCATCCATTGGAGTGATGATTTTAAAATAATTATTCTATTGAATAATTACATGATTGAACTTTTGATTATCATATTTAATAATTAGAGAGAAAAACCACACTTCCCAGAAACCTCTTTTCCTTTCTTCCTTCTCTCACTAGATCCACATATCTCCTCCAGTACTTGACACACAGCAGACATGCAGTAGATGTCTGTTGAACAAATGAACCTACATTTAAACAAGTTAAGTACCTTATTTTTTAGGGAGTCACACCCATCCAGTGACAACTATTTTTTGCTCCCTAGAAAGGTGTGCAGATTACTGAAAGTGGTAAATTTCACATGGATGGTGAAGGCACGCTGACCATCTACGACGCAGGGCACCTTGACCAGGGAAGATATGATTGTGTGGCTCGGAATTCATTTGGCCTCGTTGTGACCAACATGTTTCTTACAGTCACTGGTAGGTGTTTGTAGCTCCGTTTACAACATCCAAATAACTGTCTTTGAACAGCTGCTACTTCTAATGCTATGTGACTGACCTCACTAATCATACTTTCTTATACTTTCTTTCTGGTCAAGTGTGCTTGTGGTCAAAGCTGTTTTATTCTTTTTCAAATAAAAACTTTTAAATGTGAACAATGTTAAGGGATATAAAGTAAAAATAACAATGCCAAAAAAGAATGTAAATAGCAAAGATTTGCAAATGCATATCAGGTTTTTTTACAGCCAAAAATTATAGAATGCAAGATGTATTTATAGCCAAAATGTGAGCCGGAGGTTGGAACATAATATGAAACTCAACATGTATTAGGTACACTAGCCTAGCATATGCAATCTTAGTTTAAAACTAAAAATCAACCCATCAAACTCTCAAGTAAGATTTATAACCACTAGAATAAATATCTCAATGTTTGCAGGCATTTAAAATTGGCCAATGTAATTGGCATAGCTTTTTGCATTTTATCATCAATCTGATTATATAGCTAGAACCCTCTGCAGGTTGATTATATAGAATGACTGTTTAAAATACTGTTTACTGTAAAAATCTTTTATTTTTCTTTTTTTGATTATTCACAAGGGAGATGGGAGAGTCCATTTGCAGGCAGACTTGCATAGACTGTTCTGAAACTCAGGTGAGGTTATTTACAAGTGGAGACAGGCTGTGAATGAAGGTTGCCTGGTATGTTCTCTGCACGGGGAAGCACTGAAGAAAAGCACAGCATGTCTGCATGTGGGAGTTGACATTAGAGTTGCTTTTTTTGCAAATGGGTTCAGGAGTTTTGCCTTATTGACAATCAACAGCTGAAATACATGAGTTTAGCTACATGCATTTGGAGTGCTATTTTGGCTTTGCTTATCTTTCAGTATCCTTAAAAACGAACAAATTTCAAAAATACGGTTTTGTAGATTCTTTTTTTTATTTTAGGTTTTTCCAGGCCTTATGGGTTTATAAAAGAGATTGGGTAACTCTTTCATTATATTCAATGCTATTTCATAACACGGCCCTGGTTAAAAATAGATTTAGCTTATCAACTTATGTTTTTAAAGATTTGCCGTTTTCTGTCATGTGAATACTTTCATACTCTTTTATCATATACTTTCATTTCACTTTGATTTTTACTTACATATTCTGAGATCTCAAACTTCTGAGCATTTCTTTTGCCCAAGTCAATGGTCCCCAACCTTTTTGGCACTGGGGACGGGTTTCGTTGAAGACAATTTTTCTACAGACTGGGGGTGAGGAAATGGGTTTGGGATGATTCAAGTACATTACATTTATTGTGCATTTTATTTCTATCATTATTATATTATAATATATAATGAAATAATTATACAACTTACCGTAACGTAGATATCATTGGGAGCCCTGAGCTTGTTTTTCTGCAGCTAGATGGTCCCATCTGGGAGTGATGGAAGACAGTGACAGATCATGAGACCTCTGGTAAAATGCACTTGTGATAGTTTTGGGAAAAGTTATTACAGAATTCAAATTAATATCATCATGTTTTAGAAATGCTAAAACTCTTTACCATTAAGCAAACACACAAGCAAACAAATACTCTCTCTCTGTCTTGCTCTTCCACATACACAGAAGGACTGTAGTCACAGTGAAAAAACATTTCAGAATCTCCAACATAAGAATTTTATCTTCTTTGACAGAAATTTAAATGTAATTATGCATACATATTAAAAGTAAAACATTCAGGTCAGATGCGGTGGCTCACTCCTGTAATCCCAGCACTTTGGGAGGCCAACGCGGGCAGATCATGACTGCAGGAGTTCGAGACCAGCCTGGCCAACATAGTGAAGCCCTGTCTCTACTAAAAATAAAAAAATTAACCAGGCATGGTGCCATGCATCAGTAGTCCCAGCAATTTGGGAGGCTGAGACAGGAGAATCACTTGAACCTGAGAGGCGGAGGTCGCAGTGAGTCAAGATTGCACCACTACACTCCAGCCTGGATGACAGAGTGAAACTGTCTTAAAAAAACAAAACAAAACGAAACAAGAAAGTAAAACATTGAGCAAAATGTATTAATCACTTTATTTTCCAGATGTTAAAATAGTGATAGCATTCACTGATACTCTGTTCCATGGTATTGAAAACAGAAAATCAGTCTATAGGGAGATAATAGTACAATAAAATAAATGTTATTCAACAAAGAAAAACTTTTCTTTTGCTTTGGGGCATTTATATGTCAATATGAAGGAAAAGTAATTTATACCAAATAAATTTCATAATGTTAGAAATATTTTTTAATAAAGTAAAAAATGCAAGAATATAAATTTAAAAGTTTTGACTAAATTTAAGATCAGATACAAGGGTGTGTATATATTTATACAACCCAAATTAGCAGAATAAGGGGAAATATGGCAAAATAAAGTAGCATTTTCTGAATGTTATGACAGACCCTTTCATTCACCAGGCCATTATAAGTAATAGGAAAAGTTCATACATCACAGGTGGATTTTCCAATTTTGCTGCCCCTACTGAGTCATTGTAGAATGTTGTAACTCCACTTGTGGAGTAGGTGATACAAGTAAGTGATTATGACTTTTAAATTTCTAATTTACATTAGGAATTACAGCCATAGAAATTAATGCACAATCATGAAAACTTCACAACCATCTAGGCATTATACAAAATTTACATTTTACTGACTGATGTTTGTAGCAGGGCATCTGTGATGGCAAAAGAAAGAAAAGATTTCCACAGTTGTAATTTTTTCAGAAAGCTCATTTTCCTTTTACATTTAATAGATTTTTAAACAGTTTACATAGATATAAATAACCCATAAGACTGATACAGTATTTACTGGGAATCTCTTCTTTTGTTCAGGATGTTGTCAATGTATTTGATATCAGCAAATATTAATTCTATTTGCCCCCTTCTTTTTTCTAGATAATATTTTGTATCTAAATGCTACATATTTTATTAAGATAAAATATTTATGTAGTTATTTATTGTTTTAAAAAAATACTTGTTTAAGAATAATTTATTGTAATGCTTCCTGTGTTATATGAACCTCGAAGTGCTAGTAAGTGCTGTGAGGTATACACCCGTTTCTTGCTTGTGAAAATGGTTCAGTTTCACTGAAGACACAACACATTTGTATGAAACGTTAGCACTGTGAGACAGTGAGAAGAAAACCCCAGGGTAAGCCATTGATCTCAGCCACGTTGGATAACTTCCTTACCCATAATTGGAATTGATTTTCTTATTTTTTAAAAAGATGGACCTGAACTCTCTCAAGAGTACTTCTTGGCATAGAATTTCTATGTTTCCATGATAGAATTCAAACAATAGTTACAAAAAGAGTACAGCAGAAATGAGGAAGCAGTTTATGGCATGCCTGTGATAAAATTCTTACCATTGAGACATTGAATCAATATGTGGACAAGGTGAAAAATGCAAAGATGACCCATAATTTATTAAATGAAAAACATGGAGCACCTACATGCATATACTGGTTTAAATTATACGAAAATGATGCTAAGCAATGTTATCTTCTCTGAAGTTTCTAGTTAAGTGTCTAAATGTCTGTTGGGCACCTCATTTTGGTGAGCCCATAGTCCCTGCAATTCCTTGTGTTAAAAACCACCCTTGAACATATTAGACTCTGAACCCCTGGCCTTTCCCCGAAGACCTTGTCTCCTAGCATGCCCTCATAGCAGAAGCAGGAAGCTGAGCCCTCCGGATTTATTTTGCTTCCCAGCTCCCTTACCCTAACTCAATTCACTGCTTCAGCTGTATCTTTAACTCAATAAGTTATCATCAAACTAAACTGGCTACATTGAGATTGAGAATTTAAGGCTATACTAGCTGACTTTAGGTTAGTGGGGCCTTTTCTGTTAAGTTAATGAAATAACCTATACTAAACTCATAGGAAGATTACTAGTAAAAATAAGAGTTGGGCCGGGCACGGTGGCTCACGCCTGTAATCCCAGCACTTTGGGAGGCCAAGGCGGGTGGATCATGAGGTCAAGAGATCGAGACCACCCTGATCAACACTGTGAAACCCCATCTCTACTAAAAATACAAAAAAAAAAAATTAGCTGGGCATGGTGGCATGTGCTTGTAATCCCAGCTACTCAGGAGGCTGAGGGAGGAGAATTGCCTGAACCCAGGAGGCGGAGGTTGCGGTGAGCCGAGATCACGCCATTGCACTCTAGCCTGGGTAACAAGAGGG